TTTCCCTAGATTATTGGACTTCGAACCTCAGAGATATTATATACAAGAAAGAAGGAAAGTTGGTTGCATAAATGAGATAAATACTTCAGGTATCAGAGGAAGCCTTCTTTAAATAAAAAAATTGAACTAGACTTTTTTCAAAACAAGTTTCAGATAAAATGTCCTTATTATCTTTCCAAAGTTCCATTCTCTGCTTCTGTAGAGTCATCTGCCCTCAGGAATCAGATATTTAAGTGATCTGCTCAAAGTCAGTTCACCTTGAGCCAGGACCTTGCTTCATGTAGTGCTAAGACTGGACTCTAGCATTCTGGCTGGTTTTTGGAGGCTTGCTACATATATATATATATATATATATATATATATTAGCAATTTTATTTATTGTGATAAGTGATTACATAAATTTCACAAATTTCACAGTATTGTGAGATAGTGATACTTAAATCACAAACACATTCTAAACTTCATGAGGCAAATTGTCTTTATCATGGTCTATAAAGTTTATGAGTTCTATGAGCTTTGACAGTTATTTCTTCCACATTGGGTGAGGTGATATGTACATTTCTTTTCTTTTGCTTAGTGTCAGCTTTTCCCTCTTTCCTACTCATTCCCTCCCTCCCATTGCTGTCATTGAGTTGCTTAGTTCGCTTTTATCAATGACCAGTGCAGCTGATGGGTCTTGCTGTTGTATGTTTTCCCGTTTCCCTCTGTTTCTATGTCCTCCTCCTAGTTTCCCTTTGATGTGCACATATAACATATATACCATATATGTGGTCAGCAGCATGGGGTCATTTAGTAATGATTAGACCAGATGAGTGGAGGTCCTTTGTTTCTCGAGTCTTGTTTACTTTGTCATGTATATTTATAAATGTATATATTTATATACATTTAAACAACTGAGCCCAGGGTGTGATCTGTTTTTGAGACAGTCTGGACTCAAACTTGGATTTTCTCTCCCTCAGCCCCCCAAATATAGACTATTGGTATGTGCTACCATGTTCAGCATAGAGTATGAATGATCTTTACAGTGAGAGATTGGTCTATCTCATTAAGTCTTGAGTTTGCTCAGTTGATTTAAGACCTTAATGCTTCACACACATGATGATGCACATCAGTCACTGGGAATAGCATTACTTTGCAGGTTCTGATTCAGTTGTTCTCAAAAAGAGCTGCCATGTTCCTAGGGGTCACTGCTAACCTGCTGACTACACTTAGAGAAACAAAGTCTGACTAATAGTTGCTTCTCAATGGTTGCATGTTAGAATCATTTGAGAGCTTAAAAAATACTGGTGTATGAAATCAATCTATAATGATGGTGATTTAATTGTTCTAGGGTGGGGCTAAGTAATAATGTGTATATAGACAGTTATGATTGACACGTTGATATATCAGATTTGATCTTAGCTTGCAAATAAGGTTAAAAACCATCGCTACAAGCCAGGCACACTTTCACTGTGACTCATAGGTAAACATCTTCATGTGTTGATTTTGTAGCAATCTAGGAAGCACTTTAGATAATTTTTCTGATGTTAGTATACCTGTTTAGTAGATATAGTCCATGGAGAAAAGGTTTCTTTTTATTTCTAGATTCCCAGAGATGAGATACAGGTGACTATCAGGAGAACACAGGAAGAAAAAGTATCTTTTCATAAAGAATTTAGGTATCATCCAATAGAGGAAGTGATGACTGAATGAGAATTTGATTGCTTTTTATTCTTCTGGTTTTTTTGTTTGTTTGTTTGTTTGAATAAGAGATCAATGTGGATTCTTTCTGGATTATCATGAAGTTCTATACATTTATTCTTTAGTATTGTGTATATACTTATATAGAAAGATATTACAAAGTTTCTGTGTAGCTTTTCCTTTGCCAATAATCTAGAAAAATTTAGTGTCTTCAAAAAATAACTTGAATAACTTAGCATTAATCTTATGATTAATTATTTGATCTGCTCAAAAAACATAGGTCTGACTTCAAATGTTACTTTAATATTATTACAAAGGTGATTTTAGAAGCAGAGAAAAATGTTTCATATATGTTAGAATTACATTAACAACTTCTTAGAGACAATAAACTATGAAGTCAGAAGATTGAGTAAATTCTCCCCTCTATCTTCCCACTATTCAGTATTAAAATAGGCCTTTGATTTTATTTCCTTAAGATCATTTTGTCTACTTCATAGCCACTAATTTGAATCAGAGGCTCATTATTTGTTATTTATGTTAATTTCCACAGAGACCCTTCCTACCACCATCTTGCCCCTTAGAGTTCTTGTGTCAGGTCCTATCTTGTGAAAATAAGTCTATGGCCTCTCCATGCCCTCCTTTTCAGAAAGAAAAGTCCAAATTACAGAGTGTCATTTAGAGCCTTTGGCCCTGGCCTTACTCCTTCTCTATCCTCATCACTGGTCATGTGTCAAGTAGCACTTTGTTCATTTCTGAGCTGAAACTGAGGATTGGGCAAATGATATTGGAGAGTTGAAAGAGAAAGATGATGAGACATGGAAGAACAGGGTAGGAGTGGAGGAAGGGTAGAGGACTCCACAGAAGTACTGGGCATTCAGTCTCTGAGTTGAGTGATCACAGGTTTACAGTTTGAGCAGCTGACCTGTGACTGTAGAGGGACAGGTATGAGGGAGGTGGAACCTTGTATTCTTCCATCACCTAACTAGGACATCCTACGTGTCATATATGCTGGGACCTCCACCTGAAGTACTTTATCGTTAATCTTCTTTACCTTTTAAGACCCAACATGGCACTTTTTTCTTCTCATTTTTCTCTCATAGTATTTGGTCTTCTCCCTCCACTGTCTCCACTGTTCCAATAAACAGTTACAATTAGTGCACTTACTGTTCTGCAACAAGTATCTCTCCTAGATTGTATACTCAGTCAGGTTAAAGATATGATCTTTTGAAATCTCAATTTATATTAAGAAGCCTGATACATAGTAAATACATGCAAGAAATATGGAGTACACGAATAAGCAATTTATCAGTGTATTGTGAATCTGTACTTGCTGGGTTGGAGTGGTCAAATGAATTCTGTGTAGTAATAACAAAAAATTAGGTTGTTTCCATTTTTATACTGATATACTCTTAACCAGATGTCAAGTTAATAATAAGATTGTTTCAGCTATGTACATATATGTATATATGCAGATAAATAGACATGTATCTGTACATATATGTATATATCCATCCATGCATGTATATGAATATATATAGTTACCCATCTACATAAAAAATGGAATGGAGCTGGGAACTGATGGCTCAGGCCTGTAATCCTAGCTACTCACTGCTCAGGGAACTGAGATCTGAGGATCACAGTTCAAAGGTGTGGCACAAATGGTAGAGCACTAGCCTTGAGTAAAAAAGCTTAGGGGACAGGCCCTGAGTTCAAGCCCTAGGACCAGAAAAAAAAGGAAGGTAAAGTGATCAAAGACTCTTCATAATCCTTAATTATTTGTAGTAACAAACTTCATAGAGGCATGCAGAATGCACATGATTTATAATCTCTCAGATGGGCCTACTTGACTAGGAGGACACAGATGAAAGCCTGAAGAAACACACAGACCAGTAGAGAATACATTCTCAAGTTGCGTTGAATGTACAACTTAACTATAAAAGTGTCATTTGAAAGCTTTCCTTCAGTCATATGGAAGCACATGGAAATTTTAACTGATGAAACATGTCATATAGTTTAAAAAATGTGATAGCCTATTCAGGCTACTATAACAGAATGTCATAACTGGAGAGACTATAAGCAACAGAAATTTATTTCTCATACTTCTGGAGACTGACAAGGCTAAGACTGTGGCATGGACAAATTGGTCTGATAAGCACTTTCTGGTTTCTGGAATTCACAAGAAGGAACTAGTTGGCTCTTCTGGTTCTCTTTCATAAAAGGAACCAAAGGCTTCTTCTCCTGATAATATCATATTGGAAGTGAAGATTCTACTGTATGAGGCAGGGCACAGTGGTTCATACTTGTAATCCCAGTTACTTGGGAGACAGAGGTCAGGATGATTGCAGTTTGGGCCAACTGGGGAAAAAGACAAATTGCATCTCAGCAAATAATCCTAGTGTGATGATTCATTACTCATAATTCCAGCTACACAAGAGGCCATAGATAGGAGCATTGCAGTCCAAGGCCAGCCTTAAACAAAAATATGAGACCCTATCCAAAGAATAACTGAAGCAAAACAAAACAAAACAAAAATACAAGGTATGGCTCATATAGTAAGTGGATTGTCTGCCTACCAAGCATAAAGCCCGAGTTCAAACCCCAGCTGTAAAAATAAATTTAAAAAATAATTTTACATTATTCTTTAGGAATGAGGAGACGTGTGACTTGTGTCCTGGTTGAGATGTTTTACTAAAGGTTTGTGATGTCAGACTGACTGCCCCACATCTCTAAGCTTTCCATTCTCTGTGTATAAAATGTGAGATTTGTTCTAAATTACTACCAAGGTCATTCTGAATCATCTCTGATTCTAGAAAGTTATGAGACATAGCCTGTAACCATGGTGAGGGAAGTTGATTGGTAGCCCTAAAAATAGACTTATTTTGTCCTTCTGTGTAACAGTGATGCTTTCTCATTGAGAAAGCCACTGTGTGTATATTGCCTTAATAAACCAATTTTGTGATTTTTTTTGAGATGCCAGCTGCTCACAAGTGAATAGAAGACTGTCTTAAGAAATACCCAACACATGTTTTAAATGTGGATCTGAATTATTGTGCTGTTTTTCATTCCTGTTGTAGGTATTTCAAAAAAAACCAGAAGGTGGTGATTTGGTAAATTTAGAAAGTATTTCACTTCAGGTCCTGCTGTCTTTTGTGTTTGTGTGAGAGCCTCATTCAAAATAACTTATTTATCTTCTCTTAAAATATGCTTCCCTTTATTTTTGCCTTTCTGCTGGCAACAAATCCGTATCTGCAAATACAGGTTTTTGTCAAGATCCTTGTGTCGGTAGTTATTGTTTTCCATCCAGACACCCTCACATTTTACCCATTAAGCCTTTTGATTTCATGATGTATTGTGTCATAAACTTGTCTATTGTGCAGTTATGTCCTAAACAACCCTCTGAAGTCACTCTGAGGATACAAGATGTATGGCAATGCTGTTTGGTGATTGTTCCCTACCCAGAATGTTCCATCTGAAGTGAAACATCTTGCTGTAGTTGAGACAAGCCTTGCGGCTGGTAAGCAATGTTTCCCGGTGTGTGAGCATTTGCACTAGATCCAGCCCTTTGAAGTAGAGAATCATCTCATTAAACAAACATTTTAATGCCTACAGAAGTAGCAGAAATACAGTTTTCACTCTCTTTATTGTGCAATAATTGATAGCTAGAATGTCACATCACTGGGAGGTTAGATAATTGCTTACTGTCTCCGAGCTTCAGTTTTCTCCTCCATAAATTTGGATTTTCTTTCTAAAATAGTTTTATTTATGGATTTTATTTCTAAAATAAAATTTTGGCTCCAAAATACACTCATATTTCTTCTTTCCGCCATCTCTCTATTGCTTATTTCCTTTTTTGTCTCTTCTTCTCTTTCTCTCCCTTTTTCTTCCTCCTCTCCCCTTTAATTCCTTTCTTTCTCTAGCCTTAAATCTGTTGATATCAATCCGTGTGTCTTAAGCTTAAATTTATAATTAGTCTAATTTCTTATGGTACTTCCTTAAATTAATATGTGTAGAATTGTGTGTGTGGTGTTTGTTGTATTTGTGAGAGAGAAAAAAAAGGAAGAGACAGACAGACAGACACAGAGAGAGGTCAAAGATGATTTACAGGGTCAGGCCTGATAACTGAAAGGATGAGTTGCTAATCAGCTAAGATACAGAAGGCTACAAATGGAGATACCTGTGGTGGAAGAGTTAGAGGTCAGTTTGTGTAGAAGATGTGTTTTCTGGTAGATATCACCTGTAGATGCAGAATGTAGTAGGCAGGCCTGGCACTGGTGGCTCACGCCTGTAATCCTAGGTACTCAGGAGTCTGAGATCTGAGAATCATCATTCCAAGCCAATCTGGGCTTGAGACTCTTATCTCTAATTAACCACTTAAAAACTGGAAGTGGCACTATAACTCAAGTAGTAGGGTGCTAGCCTTGAGCATAGAGAGGCTTGAGGACAATGTCCAGGTTCAAGTCCCACAGCTGAAAAAAAAAAAAGGATGTAGTTGGCAGAAGAGTGGCCTCCAAAGATGTCCGCATCCTAGTCCCCATAACCTATCATCTTAGCTGGCCCGAGGGACTTGACAAATGAGGTGAAGTTAACCTTGAGGTGGCAAAAATTTCCCCAACTACCTGAATGACCTTAGCCTATTTGCATGAATCCCTACAACTAGAGTATCTTTCCTACGGTGGTCTGAGCAGACTGTGACCATGGAAAGAATGGCCAGAGAGAGGTAACATTGTGATTTTGAAGATGGAAGAAGGATTTCATGGGCCAAGGAATGTGGATATGCCTGGCAAGAAGTAGTAGGCCTGGCAAGGACATGATTTTTCTCCTAAAGCCTCAAGAATAGGATACAGTCCTCCCAGGAGCACCTTGATTTTTAGCCCAAGGAAATTTATATCTAACCTACAGAACTATAAGATAATAAATTTGTGTTATCTTAAGCCACTGAGTCTGTGGTAATTTGTTACAGCAGACTTGGGAGGGGGGAATATAGAGAGCAAACAATTGTATAAAATAGTCTGGAGGTAAGGAGAGAGAGTTCTGGAATTTGAAAACATTGAGGCAGCATTTAAATGCAGGGACTAAATGAGATCACCAGTAGCATGAGTAGAAATAAGAGCCAGAAGAGAACCGGGGATAGGGCCCTTGGCACCCAACATCAAGAGGCCAGGTGGAAAGAAAGAAACATTAAAGCATTTGGAACATTATAAATCAAAGGATGGAGGAAAATGAAGAGGGGGAGAGATTGATTCTGGTGGCACATAAAGCTTATCAAGGGAGAGAGGGTGGTTGCATGTGAAGATATCATGAAAAGTAAGGTGATGCTAAGGAAAATAATTTGCTGCTATCAGAAAAGCAAAGTCCTTTATTTTTAAGACAGAATTAGGATATGTGTGTAAGCTAATAGGAATTATCCACTAGAGAGCATAAGTTGATAAAAGACAAAGTAGAGACTTTGTTGGGAAATATCTTTGGAGATGTGTGGAGCATGAGGAGGGTCATCTGACAGGAGAGTGCATAGTTTATTATGACAGCCATTGAGAGAGCTGAGAGGATAATGTGGGTAGGTGGAGTGGAAGGAGATGGGGATGAATCACTGGAAGACAAGCTACAGCCTCTCTCCTGAAGAGACACAATCTGTTCTGGAAGTGGAAATTTCCAGGTACTTTATACCCTATCCAGGAAATAGAAACACATATTTTATTTTTTTAATGATACTATGGGTTGAATTAATCATATTCGAAGAACTTTTCAGCTTTCACTCAAGGACCCCTCCCCCCTTCCCCAGTCCTTTTGCTTTTAGTTTGTTTCAGATAGTATGTCATGTTAAATTTTCCTGGGACATTTTTGCCAGGATTACAGGTGTGCACCACCATTCCTGGCTTCACTTCTTCTTTTAAATAAGAGAAATTAGATAGGTTTCTTTTAGAAGTAGGAGTATCAATGGTCTGATTGTCTGATTCTGAGTGACAAGTCATCCTACAATTTAGTAACTTAAAAAAATGATCACTTGTTATCTCCTACAGTTTCTTGAGTTGAGAATTTGGCATCCTCTGGATTGTGTGGCCATTCTTAATTAAGCATCCACAGTGTAGGTTCAGAGCTGGGAGCTGGGATCATCTGAAGATTGGTGCTAATCTGAGACATCCAGGTTTCTGGCCATGGCCCTCTTCATGAGTATTACTTCACAAGGATGGCTGCAGCAGTATAAAGCTGTAGACAATGAGAGCTCCACGAGCAGTGTCTTTATGACAGTGAGTGCTGAGGTTCACGGAGGGCTCATCATATCCAGGCATCATGCAAAGGCAGTGTGGATAGTCTAGTCTTTAACTTCTGGAAGGTGTGATTTGTAAGATAGCCTGTTTTTACAATGAACTAATGGAGATTCAGGGAGATTAAAGACTGGCATAAGTTCACAAGGGCTTCTGAATTTATTGATGAAAGGACTAATGTGTATCAGGTGATAGAGAACATTGCACACAGAGAAGTGCAACCATAGTTCTCTACTGCTCCTCTGCCATGCATACTGGGGTAGCTTTTACACCCCCCCAGTCCTGCCCCATGCGCATGCACGCGCACACACACACACACACACGCACACAGAGCTTCCTTTCCCCTCCCTCCAGTAACAACATATTCAGTTTGTTTAATTATATTTCTACAATGTCTTTCCTACTTCTTTTTTGAGCTGAAAGCATAAATCATGTTAGTTCTACTTTCAGTATGTGGATTAATCTGGAAACAGTGTTAGGAAAAGCCACCTAAGCTGACTTTTAAGACTTTTGAGATAGTAAACTATTGGTTTTTTAGAAATTTTGATATAAAAGGACCCAGGTAGCAGGGTGCTGGTGACTCTTGCCTAATCCTAGCTACTCAGGAGGCTGAGATCTGAGGATCATGGTTCAAAGCCAGCCCTGGCAGGAAAGTCCATGAAATTCTTAGCTCCAGTAAACTACTTAGCAAAAGCGGGAAGTGGTGCTGTGGCTCAAGTGGTAGAACACTAGCTTTGAGCACAAAGAGGCTGAGGGACAACACTCTGGTCTTGAGTTCAAGCCCCAGGACTGGCAATACATAAATAAATAAAATGCCATATTTATTTTTACTGGTGAATCCAATTTTTTTGTAGCCAGATGTAGAAACATTATTCTTTTTGCCTAGATTCATAATTCCATTTAGGAAAGAGTTCTAGGGACTTTTGCAGATTAACAATGGATTCATTCAATAAATGTTTATTCACTAAGTTCTAGACACTGAGGGAATGACTCTGTCAGTGAACATCTAGACAGAAACTATCTGCTCTCACAGAGCTTACACCCTCAGGGGTCAATAGTAAATAAACAGCATATGTAACTTAACATATAAATACTGTGGGAAGATATCTCTCCTGAGGATGGGGAGCAGGAATGTTAGATCATGTCATTCTACTCAGGCCTGTTCCCATGGCTTCTCCTCTACTACTAGTGGAAACCTTGAAGGTCCTATATAATCTAGCCCCTCTCTCATCCTCAGCCACACCTCCTCCTGGCTGGAAAAACCTTGGGCATCAGCCTTGTTCCTGCTCATGGCATTCCCCTTTCTCCTTACATGTTCTTCAGACTGGCTTCTGATCCCTCCTTGCAGAGCCTTATAACCTTTTTGGTCTTTCTCAGATACATCTTCTCTCTAGTGCCTCTTCTGATGAGCTTATCTTAAATTTCAGTCACCCTACTTACCTTACTCTCAGCACCCCTATTCTCAGGGAAGTGACAGCTTAGTCGAAGAGTAACTGGAAGCTCTGTTGGGAAGAACTTTGGGCAGAGCAGAATATTACTAGCTTCTTACCAGGACCTCTGGCTTTCATTTGCTGGGAAAGTTCTCTATAAAGGTTCTGCCCAGTGGAAATGCCATGGGAATCTCCCTGACTTCTGCATTAGCATTGATTCAACCTTGAGCTTACTTTGTGGGAATTCCCAGCATGGTATTCGTTTGTCCTTGTCATACTGCAGGCTTGCTTGTGTGGATTGGATGTAGTTTCTTGGTATAGTAGACCCTCTTTCAGATGGCTGAGTCTGCTCCATGATTTTGGGTTGGGTATTGTTTAGGCTTTCAGTCTGCTTCTCTCCTTTAGGAAGGCCACTCTTGTTTTCTTCCTAAGATGTTTCTCTCTTTCCTCATCTTCTGTAGTTACCTCATCTGTCTTCTCAGCTTTCAGTTTCACTGGCTGTGCTGACCTTTTATGTATTTTTTTGTTTTGTTCAGAAACAGAAACTGCATCTCATACATAATTGGCTGGTATCTGCCCCATTCCCCCCCCCCCTTTTTTTTTTCTGGTCGTGGGGCCTGAACTCTGGGCGCTGTCCCTAAGCTCTTCAGCTCAAGGCTAGTGCTCCACCACTTGAACCACAGTGCCACTTCCAGCTTTTTCTGCTTATGTGGTGCTGAGGAATCAAACCCAGGGCCTCATGCATGCAAGGCAAGCACTCTACCACTGAGCCACCTTCCAAGGCCCCTCAGTCCCATTTTATTGGATCCTTAACTTCTTTT